CCTATGGGCCAAGGCCATCGCCAATAATCGTCGACCACGCTCCACGACGGCGGATAACACTTCAACGACAGTTGAAGTTATATCCTATGGGCCAAGGCCATCGCCAATAATTGTCGACCACGCTCGACGATGACGGATAACGCTTCAACAACAGCTGAAGTTACATCCTATGGGCCAAAGGCCATCGCCAATAATCGTCGACCACGCTCGACGATGACAGGTAACACTTCAACGACAGTCGAAGTTACACCCTATGGGCCAAAGGCCATCGCCAATGATCGTCGACCACGATCGACGACGACGAATAACACTTCAACGACAGTCGAAGTTACATCCTGCGGGCCAAAAGCCGTCACAACCGATGCGCCAGCCAAGCTCGACGGTGACAAAATATGTATAAACAAAGAACAACACAAAAGAATAGCAACAAAAGTATAATTCTTTCACTATGACAAAAATTATATACATTTAGTCCCATGGAGGACTCCCATTACATTCCAAAAAGAAAAAAGGCAAAACCTATACAAATCTTAAGGAGTCTCGCCAGATTTACCATCGCCATCCGCTTGCTCTCCTTCTCGACCATCGCCACCGAGACGGTAAGTCTCATTAAACCATGGGTCGGACTCGAGGCGGTTGACGTCCTCCGAAGTGTAGCCCTCTCGGTCAGGAGAGTCGGAGTTGTACCCACAAGCTACACGAGCGGCACGAGCCTCACGCCACTGCTCCCGAACTTCCTCCTCGGAGTCACGTCCCGCAACAAGAAGTTTTTTATACACGTCCAATTTGGCCTCCGCATATACCCACATCTCGTGCGCATCTTGGGTCGCGTCCCCGGGATGTGGCGGGGCAGTACGCCTAAGGACATCGATCTCAACCGCCTTAGCTTCGAGCTCGACTGTCAAAGCCACTACCCTACGGTGAAGATCGGCTACCTCCGCCGCCACTCCACGGCTAAGCTCCAACTCCTCCTCCCTCAGCTTGAGGAGTGATTCCAGCTCGCTATTACGAGCCACAACCTTCACCAACTCCTCATCTATTTTCTCCAGCTCCGACGCCCTGCGGCTCAATTGTGCCTCCCTCTGTTCGAGGCCCTCCCGGAACACCTGGAATTGTGGATCTTGCCGGAAAAGATCTGTCGCCGCTTGATACTTGGAGCGATACCGTTTATACTTCTTCACCATCTTATCAAAAACGGTCGTTCTCTTCTCCTCACGGCGCCTCCTTTCCAATTCCAAAACCAGGGTCTAAAGAAGAAAATATATACATGCAAGTAAGTTAGTACGCATCAAAATCAACTTCACGACACACGGAAGAACAGAGAAGTTACCTGTAATGCCATGCCAGCGACCCTCCGTGACACCTCCGCATCGCTGACGACGCTCAGCATCTCGCGCTCAGGGGCAGCACACAGTAGGGCCATCTCCAGTGCAGCCCGCTCGCTGTGCTGTTACAAGTTGTAAGACCCTGGAATCACGATGCGGCGGCCGGATCCGTCTTCTGTCATCTCCACGCGTGCAGAGTTTTCCACCACCTCTTCCACATTCCCGTGGACGGCCTCAGCAGTTGGTCCCCCAGCGTCGCCACCAACAAGGGGCGATGAGCTACCCTTGGCAACACGAGCCAAGCTGGTACCAACATTAGCACTTATCTGGTTGGCCGACCTCCCCGAAAGGATGGCGTCGGCCATAAAGACGGGCCTAGTTATTTGGCGAGGCGCGTCACCCTCTTCATCTCCAGTCGCCACCGCCTTACCCATCACGAGCCTCCTCCTTTTTCTCTCCTCAGGCTCCTCTCCCTCGGAAGGCTCGTCCGCAGGTTGCGGAGACAATATCGACGGTCCCGCCTCATTTATAGCCACCTCCGCAGGAGCAGCCTCTTGTAAAGAGGCTACGGTCACCCCTTCCCTGATAGAAGTACAAAGTATTTCCTGCGTAGTCTGACCAACATCTGATCGGGAGGAGGCGGATGCCGTCGCCCTCCTCTTAGGAGCACTTCGACCTGGCAATAAAAGTGATTTAGCCGACGATATTTGTGAAAGCGACTAATTAAAGTCGAAGAAATACCTGAAGGGCTCGCGGGACCGTAACGTTCAATGAATTCAGCCCACGTACGGGTCTCTTCTGCGAGAGGCAGCAAACCGGACACCCACTGCTTAATATCGGTTATGAACCGGGGGACGTGAGCTATAGCTGCAAAATAACAGAAAAAATCATAAGGATGGTATAATCGGAACCGCTAAAGTCACGTACGATAAACGACTCGACAGATAGTAATACTTACGTCTCGAATTCCACCTCTCAGGGAATCCGACGGGGTTAGACACCAGGTGCTCCGTCTTGATAAAGAAGTATCTACGCCAATAGCCCCGGTTAGCCCGATCGTCGGTTTGCATAACCAACCCCTTCGAGCCACGATTCTTTAGATGCAGCATGGTGCCCCTCAGATAGCTGGCACTGAATAGCTGCAATAGGTGGTGGACGGAGACCTCCAGCCCGACCAGCTCCGCGTATGTAGACATTACCCTACATACTTTAGGGTATACGGAGTGAACTGGGCGGGACACATGTTGTAGTAACGGCAAAGTTCCTCCCCCAATGGAAAAATGGGGAGGCCGTAGCCGATTAAAAAGGGATATTCATAAAGCGTACAGTATCCCGGTCTATGGGTGTTCGCGTAGTCCGCTCCTGCTAAACCCATCTCCACGTGAGCGGGTATATCATACGACGCACGAAGAGTATCTAAATCGGTTTGTTTTAACTCAGATTTCTCCCAAGGTTGTTCGGGAGAATCCCTTTGAAAGTCCCTCCTAATAAGGAGTTGCTTCGGGAGCACGTTATCTATGGTAAGAGGGGTGAGATCCTCCCCTTTCTCTCCCTTATCGCCGCCGGATGGAGGCGGTATGTCAGATGATTTATTATTACGAACCCCCGGAGCGTTATCCCGTTTAGGTTTTGTCATGGTTTCCGATTAAGGAGTGATGTACTACGCAACCACAAGTGTACTTTCAGGGAAGCGGTGATTTTTCGTAAAAAGAAAGCGTTTCTTGAAATAGTTGGAAAACGTTTGCAGATGATCTAAAGTTAGGTTAAGTTGAACCCTTTCCCTATTTATAGGGTTGGGTAGCGTTGAAATCGAAGAGGCAAAACCCCAAACAGGCGCGGGAAACCAAGGATCAGAACACTTTTTGTACTTCCTGGGGAACACGCGTAATGATGACACGCATATGGTGACGTCATCTCAGGGAAGGGATTGCGCGCCAATAGATCAACAAATTCAAACGATCGCCCCCACCTCGTCGTCTCCAAACATGGTCAAAATTTTCCTAGTACAAGGATCATGGTTCCGTCCATCGGCGACGCACTTCGTTACGTCACCAACGAACGGAGGGACTATCTGTATGGGGTCAAATTCTGCCCACTATGGTAAGCAACGACCCCCGACTAAGCAATAGCCGAAGTAGAGGGGACGACCTAAGAATGTCAGAGCGAAAGTGTGCCCTTGAGTCTCGTCGTCTCCTCGAAAGCACGTGACCTATCCCTGTATTATTTTATTATTTTTTGAGGGGGTTCTCTTGTTATATAAAGGAGAATCCCAATGTTGTAAAGGGAGAGATCTTTTCAATAATAAGTTATCTTTTCTTTCTATTTTCTCTTTCTCTCTCAACAAGCTTTCTCTTACTCTCTTTCGAATATCCAAGTTGTTGAAACAATCACAAGCATAACACATATTTCTAGGTCTAATTATATTCGATTACGATTTACCTTTGATTCATTTTGATTGTTTTCGCTTACAAAGTAATTAGTATCTTTTGAGTAAAACAGCCATGCTTTTAAATTTGTTACACATTCACATAAAAAAGATTAATATTGCCTTTTATCTTAGAAAACTAAAAAGACTTAAGTAATGTTACTTCTTAATAATAAAATAGATGACAACTTAAAATATAATCTATTAACATTTAGAGACTAAAATATTATTTACGTTTTTCATTACCGTGCGAAGCGCGGATACATTTACTAGTTTTAGATAAAAGTGTGCGAAAACAAACAATTTCACAGACGTCTTTGGATAATTTAGTCCAACACAGACCAAGCACTAATTATTCGAACTCTCGAAGTAACTTTGTTTCCTTCACCTCCTCCCCTTTCCTCCTTCTCGTCCTCTTCCTTTCCAACTTTTTTCTTTCCCTCATAATTATACAACTATACAATTCATACTTTATTGTTCTCGTAATAAATTTTACTATGTTTTCATTAAAGTAAATACATGGGGGGTAAATTAAAAAAAGTCCATAAGAATTTGAAAGAATAACATACATTAGTCAAAGTATAAAGAACTATTGTATGCACTATAATAATTAAATGGACATAAGTAGCCGTAAACCTCACCTGCTACGAGGATATACTCCAAATGTTAGCAAGAATCTTGAGGTACCAGACTACCAGTACTGTTTGTCGAGAGATTTGAATAGGTGCACGCATAAGTTGGTTCATTTGTATTTTACTCATGCAAGAAATCGTATATTTTCTACTCGACTTTTGTAAATGAAAAATAAGGTCTAGTCAACACAAAGGGTTGCCCAAGTGGAAAATATCCTTCACCTCCAAGCTAAAAATTGCGGGTTTGAATCACCGAGCGAGTAAAGTGGATGGGATATAAGGAGAAAAAAAGAGAGGTCTACTCAACCTTTTTTTTTCCTCTACAATAAAGGGGCTTTTACATGACAACTTAGGTGGGGTAAAAAAAATTACCTACATATATTTACTTACAAAATTCATCCATTAAACTTTTTTTTTAACACAGTATCGTATACCCAGATATATACAGCAGTAAAAATAATTGAATCACAATGTAGTATACCTTATTGTATGACATTCCTGTTAATTTTTCAAAAAAGAAAGAAAAAAGGTTGAAAGTTTCGAAAAAAAAGAATAAATGCCTGAAATATAGCCTTTCACAAAATCCAGGCCCAGAAGCATCTAGACATTTCCAGTAGCGCCCTCTATTTCCCCCCACCATTATATATAACAAAACCAACTGCCATTTGTCTTTCTTCACGCAGTTGTACGCACACGCATATCTCTATCAGCCGCTTAATTTTCCCCTGTAAAAAACTATAAACATGAGGTATGTTCTTCAATCTTTTCCTCTTCGTTTGCGTTTACGACGTGTCTGTGTTTTTACAGCTTTTTATTCACCCATTGCGTAAGAGTCGTACATACTATAAGGTTTTGGATGTTTTCAAGTTTTCTCTCGAAATGCTTAAATCAAACCCTAGGATTTAGAGTTTTGTATTTGAACTCTAACGAAAAGGAATTTGTATCTGAATATTTTATTTTCCTTTTTTTTTTTCTCTCTCTTCTATATTTCATTTATTTCTAGTGTGCTCGTCCCTTGAACTTGTGATTTACTAGAAACTAATCTATTCATTCACTTGCTATTGGTAACTAGTCTGTTTTTCTCATTTTTTTTTGAATTTAAATGATATAGATGTAGCAGTTTATCTATCTCTTTTTTTTTTGTCGTTTTGGGGATGGCCGGGATAAAGGAAGAGGAAAGGACGGTCTCTGGTGAGCGGTGAGTATTGAGTATAGGATACAATGTAGATATGGTATATCTGCTCTTGTTTTTGGAGACAATTTCTGTCTTACTGGTTGATGAGAACACTTTAGGAACCATAAATGGCATAGGGAATTTTCTTGAGACGTAATCACGCAGGTTTTCAACTGGTTCTTGTAGAGATATGATGATGAACAGATGCTCTGTGCATCTCCTTCCGCGAAACGTCAAATATTCTGCTTAAATAGTAGACACATGTAATAAATAAGAAAATACTAAAGATCCGAGCCTATAGCTTTTTTGGGTGCTTGCAGCCATTCTTGCTCAATAATGTCTCCACTACTCAACAAATGAGCATTGATGCTTTGGCATTTGCACTATACCCATGCACAATGTATCCCAAAGCAACTCCTGGCCATTAGTGCTTTGAAGAATCCATTCAAAATTTATTTAGGTTCTGGTCAATGGCTTTATAATGAGGTTGCAAGGGAATACTTGCTTAGGTTTTCTCTGTTTTTTGTTTGTTTCCTGTCATAGGACGTTAGCGTTTTTGTTAGTTGTGTTCTTTAATGATGTTTATCTAAGTTTTTGTTAGTTATGAACTGAAAGTGACCAACTTATGAGTCAAAATAAATCCAATCCTATTTTTCTCAAGGCACCATTTTTGTATTTATGTTCTAATTCCTTTAGATACCAACTTAAGTAGAAGCCAACCTTTTGCCAACAACAACAATAAACCCAATGTAATCCCACAACTAGTATCTGGGGAGAGTATTGTGTACACAGACCTTTCGGCCTTTTAAATTTAAATAAGGTTAATATCTTTATTTATTTTGAGAAACTTCCCATCCATGAGTGGTCTACCAAAAAGTATGAGCTGTATTTTCCAAAGGTACCTACTATTCTCATGGGTGCTCCAAAAGTTAACCAAAATGAGATCTTATTCCCTAAATGTACATGGTTAGTCTCTATTCCTACAAAAGCTGCCTTATCCCTCTCCTTCCGTAGGATCACACCGAGGATCGAGGCGGCGACATTCTGTTCTTTGAGCTTCTCTACCTTCTCCAACTGCGTAGACCGTAGTACATAATTCACTTGTGCGATATTGTCCACTATGCTCCAAAATTAGCGTATATAAGTTAAAACCACTTATCAATCATTTTTTTTTTTGATAAGATAATGGATTTCATATAAGGCATCAACAACAACAACAACCTAGTGTGGTCCCACAAGTGGGGTCTGAGGAGGGTAGGATGTACGCAGCCTTACCCTACCTTGGAAGGGCAGAGAGATTGTTTCCGATAGACCCTCGGCTAAAGAAGGTGAGAGAAGCCCTAGTAGCAAGTAATAGCAAGAAGATGCAAAATATAAGGCATCAAGAAGATGCAAAATATAAGGCATCAAGAAGATGCAAAATGTACAGTGCAGTAAAAGCATTGTTAGCTCTATTACAAAAGGCTAGTCTAAAGTTAAGGAGCTAACAAAGTCCAAAAAGGCTTCTGGGGAATTTACAGGTAAAAGGTTACTCCAGCTACATAAACTTGCTAAACATCTAGCCTTAAGTATGTAATTTGGGGTAGAAATGCCCTCAAAACATTTTGTTTTTCTCTCAGTCCATATACACCAGAAAATACAGGGATCATCTTCCAAACTACCCTGATGGATTTTCTGACCTTCCATGAACTCCAGCTAATCAATGCATCTTTTACACTTTCAGGCATAACCCATTTGAGACCAAAAGCTGAGATGAACATGTTCCATATGTCTATAACTGCTGCACAATGTAACAAAAGATGTCTATTGGTTTCAATAGCCTGTTGGCGCATGTAGCATCTGTTGACAATGTGAAAGTTTCTCCTAGTGAGATTGTCCTGGGTGAGGCATGCTTCATATACGGCTATCCAGCTAAAGCAAATCACCTTTGCTGGTAACTTGGTTCTCCAAATTAACTTCCATGGCCAAGTGACTACCACTTCATTCTGATCACAAAGGGAGAGATAACCTGCCTTTATAGAGTATTTACCATCTACTCTATCACCCCAAATGAGTCCGTCTTGTGCCTGCTTGTTGGTTTGGAATGACCCAAGCCTCTCCAATAGATTGAGTAGATCCTGTATCTCCCAGTCTTGCAAGTTTCTTCTGAATTGAGGGTTCCATGTGTTATCGGCTCTGTTATTTGAAATTGTTGAGTTTCTCCAAGTGAATATTGAATAGAGGGCAGGAAATTGAACTTGTAGTATGGAGTCCCCAAACCATCTATCTTCCCAGAACTTGATATTTGCTGCATTGCCTACCTTGAACTTACAGTTGTTGTGAAATTCTTCCCCTAGCTTGCTGATATATTTCCAAGGGCCTACTCCAAATGGTGTTCTAGATACTTTAGTACACCACTGATTCTTGGTACCATGCTTTGCAGTCACCACCTCCTTCCAAAGGACTTGATCCTCTTGAGAATAATTCCACAACCATTTCATAAGCATGCTCTTATTGTGGATTTTGAGGTCTCTAATACTTAGACCACCTTGAGATTTAGGCAGAGTTACTTTCTTCCATTTCACCAGGTGCGTGCCACACTCACGAGGGACTGAGAAGTTGACGAAGTAGCGAGTTAAATGAGAGGCTAGAGTCAAAGGCGAGCCAATGAGCTTCTCAGTTAATGAAGAGCTTCCCTTGATGTGAGCGTGGAATTTGTGGCTTTTGCTATTTCCTTCCCAAAAGAAAGTTTCTCCTGTATTTATCAATCTGCTTCAGCACTTTTCCGGGGATGGGAAATAGGGACATAAGGTAAGTTGGTAGGTTGTCCAGGACACCGTTGATGAGCGTGAGTCTGCCTCCCATAGAGTGGTATTGCATTTGCCAATTAGCTAGCCTTCTTTCAGTTTTGCCTATGGCTCCACTCCATATATCAGCAGACCTAAATTTGGCACCAAGCGGTAGCCCAAGGTATGTGGTTGGTAAGGTACCAGTATTGCAGCATAGTATGTCAGCCAGGCCCTCTAGATTGGTTACATCATTTACCGGGTAAATGACACTCTTCAACATATTAATGTGTAAACCTGTAAGAGCTTCAAATATAAGCATAGTCAGATTTAGATGTAGCACTTGAGATTCTTCAGCCCCACAAAAGATGAGGGTATTGTCTGCATATAATAGATGGGAGACAGTCACAGTGTTCCTAGGACTGACACCAACTTCAAATCCTTTGAACCATTGTAAATTCCTGGCTTTTGTTTAGCATGTTACTGAGACTTTCCATGGCTATGATGAAGAGAAATGGGGAAAGAGGGTCCCCCTGTCTAAGTCCCTTTTGGGGAGAGAAGAAGCCAATTGTGCTTGAGTTAACCAGAACCGAGTAGGTAGTGCAGAATTTGATCCATTTAATCCATTTGTCACCGAATCCCATTTTCCTCAACATCATAAAGAGAAAGTTCCAGTTGAGCTGATCAAAACCTTTCTCTATATCTAATTTGCACAATAGACTTGGTTCCCCTGATTTGAGCTTCCAGTCAAGGATTTCATTGGCAACTAGAGCTGCATCAGTGATCTGTCTACCTTTTATGAAGGCATTTTACTGTCCAGAAATGAGCTCCCATATTACATTCTTCAACCTTTCGGCCAGAAGTTTTGCAGCTATTTTATAAACACTTCCTATTAGACTTATTGGCCTAAAGTCTCTTAGCTCCACAACTCCCTTTTTCTTAGGGATTAGAGCAATGAAGGAGGCATTGCAAGATCTCACCATCTTGCCATTCTTGTGGAAGTGGTTTGGGGTGTCAATTAAGTCTGACTTGATGATGTCCCATGCACTTTGGTAGAAAGCCATTGTGAATCCGTCTGGTCCATGAGCCTTATTAGGAGCACATGCTTTGATGGTAGCTCGGATCTCATCTTCTGTGAAGTCACTTTCTAGCTCTGCTTTTTCCTCTTCTGTAATGCTTGCCAATCCCTCAAAGTTAGCAGTAGGCTTCCAAGGTTCATTCTCAGAATAAAGATTTTGGTGGAATCCCAAAATTTCATTCCTAGTCTGATCCTTCTCCTCAATTAAGTCATTGCCAACCTTGAGTTTATTAATGTAGTTTTTTCTTCTGTTGGAATCAGCTATCCTTTGGAAGTACTTGATGTTTCTGTCCCCTTCTTTAAGCCAGAGACATCTGGACTTCTGCCTCCATGAGATCACTTCTGCCAATGCTAAATTCTGGATTTCAGTTTAAGTGTGACCAATTTGGAGAGTTCAGCTGAAGATAGAGCCCTATTCTCTGCAGCTTGTTCCAATGCCAACAGATCATTCAAGGTGTTGGTTCTTTGCATTTCTACCTTCCCAAATACTTCTCTATTCCAAGTAGAGATATCTTTCTTGAGCATTTTTAGTTTTTGAGTCAAAATGAAGTCAGGGTTGCCATTAACTGTGTAGCCTTGCCACCACCCCTTGACTTTATCAAGAAACCCCTCAACTTGTAACCACATGTTTTCAAATTTATAATAAGAAGGGTTTACCTCCCAATCTCCACTCTCCAGCATAATGGGTTTGTGGTCTGAGATGACATTTGGAAGTACCATCTGAGTCACCTTCCTGAAGGTGTCACTCCAATCGTTTGCTATAAGAAATCTATCAATCCTGGAAGCCTGGTATATGTTTTCACCCCTGGACCAAGTGAATGAAGCACCTTGAAGAGGCAAATCAATAAGACATAAATCATCAATTGTTTCAGAGAAGAAGCTTTTCATTGCCTTAGACCTTCTGCTGCAATTTAGCCTTTCATGTTCAAATCTGCAGACATTAAAGTCACCTCTGATCACCCAATGCTCATTCCATAGCTCTCGAACAGCTGCGAGTTCATCCCAAAGCACCTTTCTTTCGGGATTTGTATGCTGGGCCATAGACTCCTGTAAAACACGATATGAAATCTTCATGAACACTTTCCAACATGCTAGAAATTGTATAGATTCCCTGATGAAGTTCTATGCAATTCCAGCTTCTTCAGTCCCATATCTGCCAACTGAATATGCAACCTCGGGAAGATGGCCTTTCTGTTGGCAATATAAGTGGTATAGTTGATTTTGGGTAAACTTTGTTTAGACCTTCATACAAGGGAAATGCCAAAAGGTCGAGGATATTAGATTTGGGGTGAGCGTCAGGTTCTTTCTGCTTTACAGTTTAGTGCCCAACTTTGTACATCTCATCTCGTTTACCTTTGGAGGTTGGAGACATTAGTGCTTTGACATGCAAGGGGATGTAAGTGGAAGAAACTTTTTACTTTATAAAGTTTCTATGTCAAAGTTGCAGTTGCTTTATGGACTTGGAGTTTTTTAGTTTGTCTTCGACAGTGATCTATCACGGTTCTCTTGTGCACCCATCACTATGCTCATCAGCAGCTGTTCAAACATGAAATGCGGTGGAGTCTCCACCTTCATCTCATAGCTTCGGCCCTATGTCAAGTTGGTCTCTTATTGAACCGTTGCACCTCATTTATTCGTAATTGCTTATGGAGTGCTTCATGTGGTGCTTGCTTGAATTTTTTTTACTTCTGCATGTAATTAATATAGCAATCGGGATCTACCAGTATGTGCCATGCTCCAAGTTCTTATTCCCCACATATAGTGGGATAATTTGACGCAGATAAAAATGTCAAAGGAGACAATTATACAAAGGATAAACCTTCCTCAAAATTTCTCGTCTTGAAAAAAATCATTTATGAGCTCTCAGACTGATTATGCATTGATTTAAGTTGCCTGGAAATCTGGAATTTTCTGTAATTGGAGACATCCAATTGCTTGCTTTTCCTGGTTGTCTTGAATGGTCATTATTGTGAGACTTGGTTGAGATCCATTTGTTTTCTGCTTCTCTATCTCAGCCGACACCCTGCTGTCAAGTGGGCCCAGAGGTCCGACAAGCTGTTTATCACGGTGGAGTTGCCGGATGCCAAGAATGTGAAGCTGAAACTGGAACCAGAAGGAAAATTCTTCTTTTCTGCAACTGCAGGAGCTGATAATGTACCGTATGAAGTGGATCTCGATCTCTTTGATAAAATTAATGTTGATGTAAGTGAAGCTCCCTCTGTTCACGTCTGCAAATTTTCTATGTGAGAAACAATGTTAATTTTACTGTAACAACTAACAAAATAATGTTAATTTTACTGTAAAATGTTCATTCAGGAGAGCAAAACTAGTACTACTTCTAGAAGTATCGTGTATCTTGTGAAGAAGGCAGAAGACAAGTGGTGGAGCAGACTGATAAAGCAGGAAGGTGTACGTCCAGTGTTTTTGAAAGTTGACTGGGACAAATGGGTTGATGAAGATGAAGAGGACACTAAATGTTAGTATAATGTCACTAGGAATATGCTTTACTGTTGATATTAACCACTTGGTATATATATTTGCTAACCATGATACTAATATTTCAGCTGAGACGGATATGGATTTTGGTGATATTGACTTTTCGGTAAGCAGCTTTAGAGATACCAACAGCCAGCAGTGGTTATTTTCGTCTATATTTATGCTGAAGTTTTAACATGAGCCCTTTATTATTCTCTCAGAAACTCAACATGGGAGGCGGTCCTAGTGATTTTGATGCTGATGTGCCTGAGGGTAAGTCAGCTTCGGTTACCCAGCAACAGTACCATCCCGATATGTTCAGCTTCAAATCTTCTGCTCTCCATTTGATTGTCAGTTGTAAATTTTGTTTTGTTCTTATCTAATGTAAGTTGACATTTTTTCTGCAGGAGACGATGACAGTGACACCGAGGAAGAAGAAGTCAGGGAGGAGGAAAATAGTGCACATAATGAACCTGAAGCAGCAGTGCCTCCAAGCACAGAACCCGAAGCAAAATCTTGATGCGTTTGTAATATCTGAAAAGCGTTTTAACTGCTTGAGTTTTACTGTAGTGCTGTTGGTTATGGTTAGAGCAGTAAGGATCAGGCGTTCCCTATTATTGACTTGTTACCATGTATCTCTTGTCATTTGGTTACGTAAATCTTCTTGTCTGTGTCTTCTGAAGGATTTCGTTTTAAAGCGAAAATCATTCGAGGTTGAGATGTCCTAGTGGAATGATCTGTGTGCATGTATGGCCTTAAGGATTTGCTTCTTCCGGATGATTTGCAGGTCATTTGGCAACTTTATTGGAGTCCGATTCCAAGCTGCGAATGTGACACAGAATACTTTTATCAAACTCATCGCTTTGCACTGGATTACTTGGTGTTCTTACGTTTTCAATTTCTACACTAGTTTAGCAATCTGCTTGTACCAAAAAGAGCTGATGGCGTACGTGACTAGTTGATTGATTGATGAGCCAAAAAAAAAGGTCTGCAAATAGTTAGATTGTTCTTCACTGTGATTTACACGAGAACTAGAGATAATGCGCCCGGGACCGGACCACGACCACGGGCCAAACGGGCCGGTCTCAGTGGGCTGGTCCCAAATGGTGTGCAAGGCTCGTGGCGGGCCGGTCTACTTCAAGGAGCCCACGAGCCCGGGACCGGTAGGCGGGCCTGGGCCAGTTCAACCAAGCCCAACGGGCCTAACGGGCTCCAACGGCTAATTTAAAAAAAAAAATTTAAAAAAAAGACCAACGGTCAGATTTTTAAAATCTAGCTGTTGGCCTTCAAAATTGATCCGTTGGCCACTTTAAAAAATAGTCATTTGACCCCCAAACTTTATTTTAACCCCAAACTTTATATAATTACGCTTTTTCCCAATTCTCAATTATAAATACTCCTTCATTCTTTCATTTTTACTTACCAATTCATCAATCTATCTCAATCTATATCTAATTTATCTTCTATAATTGCTTATTTTATTATTGCAATTTCATAAAAAATTGTGAAGTTGGTGTATTGAAGAATTCAAGTCTTCAAGTCTTCAACGATTTTCAATTTTCAAGAAGTTGTTTCTTAAGTTTTAAGAATATATTTTTGTGTGTTTTAGTTTGCATAATTGTAATTAATATGGCATTTTCTTTGAAAAAAATGTTTGGTGGTAAGGGAAAAGCTAAAATTGGTGAAAGTAGTCGCCAACCTACTACCCTTCCCCCGGCTCCCCGACCCAGACCTGTTACCCGTCCTGCTGCTCCTATTATTCTTGATAGTGATAACCCTTGTTTTCAATTTTCCGATAGTGAATTTTGCTATAATGTTGCACCAGGTCAACAATTAAATGAAGAAGTTATGACTGCTCTTTATCCTAATGAAACTATCTTAGAAAATGATGAGGAAAATGAGGATGTAGATGAAACCCAACCGGATTTAGATGATACACCTACTAGTCCTGTTAATAACCCAACTGATGCCCCGCCCGACCCACCTGTAGAAACCCCTACTTTTAATAGACAACCTTCAAAACGCCTCGAAACATCAATTGTTTGGAATTTTTTTATTCAAGTAAGAGAACAAAATAAGGCTAAGTGTAGAACTTGTGGGAAATTGCTGGCACATAAATATACTGAAAACCGTAGCGGTACGGGTAGTTTGGCTAGGCACATACAAACATACCCTAGAGAAAAAGTTAAGTATTTACAAATGAAAGCGCAGCAAGAGGGGACAAGTGTAGATACTGCGGTTAACCCTAGTACAAGTTCAAATCTAGTTCAACCAGGAATTAACACTGTGACCGGTTTTGGTATTTTATATTACGATCCTAATAAAGATCGTGAAGAATTAGCAAAGATGGTTACCGTTATGTGCTTACCCTATACTTTTCCTTCTAACCCTAACTTTGTGCATTATATTAGAAAAGCTTTTAATCCTACTTATAAAGGTTGGCCTCGCGCAACCGTAAAAAGCGATATTTATAAATATAAACATGAATATGAACAATATTTGCGGTATTTAATTACTCATATAACTAATCGGATTGCTATTACTACTGATATTGGTAGAAGTAATAATGACTGTGATTATCTAACTGTTACAAGTCATTGGACAGATGAGGAGTGGATGATGCAAAAACGCATTATTGCTTATAGAATAATTAATTCACGTCACACAGGTAAGTTTATTGCTAATACTGTTGCAGATATTTGTAGATATTTTTGCATTAGAGATAAAATAATGGCAACTTCTATTGATAATGCTTCTAGTAACACTAGTGCTATAGGTATACTTACAACAACACTAAATCCTGCATTTAGTAATTGTTTCCATGTGAGATGTATTTGTCATATTTACCATTTAATTATCGGTGATGGTATGAGAATTTTAAATTTAGAAATTGAAAAGGTTAGAATGGCTCTTAATTGGCTTTTTTATTCAAACCGTAGAAGTAGACTTAGAGAGTATTTTAAAAAATGTGATGAATATGGCCTTAGAGAAAGAAAGGTTCCTAAAGCTTGTCCGACTAGATGGAATTAGATGTACGAAAGTTTAGTAGTTGCATATGAATATAGAAACCCAATTAATGCAACGTTTAATGCTCGTGTTGATGGTGAGGATGATGATGAAATCCTTACAAATCAAGATTGGACGAATGTTAAAATTCTTATAGATTTTTTAGAACATTTTCAAATTGCTACAAATGCATTTTCTGGGCAATATTATCCTACTATTTCAAACTGTTTAGTTTATATTGCAGTACTATGTGATTTGTTTGTTGAATTTTCGGAGGGTGGGGAAATTTATAAACTTGCTATAAATGCAATGAAAGAAAAGTTTAAAAAATATTTTTTCCCTATCCCCCCTATTTATGGTGTTGCTGCAATGTTAAATCCTACAATGAAATTAGGAGGTCCTCACTTTTGGTACTCAAATATTTATAAGGCTTTAGATCTTTCAGATGAGGAATTTGCTACACTTGCAGATGCAAAAGCCTCAATTAAAATAAATGCTCAAACAATTTATAATGCTTATCAACTTGCCTTAGATCATGCTAGGCCAAATGTTCCAACCCCTACTTCGTCTAGTTCACAATCGTCTAAAAGAGCTGCAGGCCTAAAAGCACTTAAATCTTGGACGGAGTTCAGGGGTTCTCAAGGTGATAATTTTGATGAGACTTCACATCTAAATGAGCTTCAAGTTTATTTATCGCAGGGACTTGAAAAGGAGAATCCAGACGGCACCTTTGATCTTTTGGAATGGTGGAAGGCAAGGGAAAAACATTTTCCGGTTCTTGCAAGGATGGCTCGGGATATTTTATCTATTCAAGCTTCAACAGTTGCATCAGAGAGCGCTTTCAGTCAAGCAAGACTTCAAATAGGTGATCATAGAGCGTCTATGAGGGAGAGCTTGGAAAAATCAGTACTATTCAGAGATTGGATCCGCTCGGAAAGAAGAAACTTTGGACTTGCAGAATCACAACCGGAGATAGACGAAGCTTATGAAGAAATGATAGCGGAACTTGTGGAGGATGCTGCTTCGCCCAGAAGCGGTGATGAACAAGCTTTTTTTCCGCCACCACCAACGGAACCTCCTCCGAACCTTGAAGGATTTATGAGATTTGTTAGAGATACAATGTAGATTATGGTGTAACTTGTACTTTGGCGCATCTTCTTTAGTTTTTTTTCCTTTTAATGGTGGTATTAGTACTTGTTGTGCTCATTCCATTGGGGGAAGAAGACTAAGAAAGATATGCCATTTTTGGTAATAAAAATTATAAGACATTCCCTTGAATATCTCTTTGCAATATTTTTTTGTCTTTAACTTGCAATTCTTTATAAGCTATAATATATATACATAACATACTATATATACTACAAGAAAATATATAAGGGAATATATACATAACATACTATATATACTATACTATATATATATATATATATATATACATACATATATATATACTAACATATATACTAACATACTATATATACTTCAAGAAATTATATAAGGAAATATATATACATAACATACTATATATACTACAAAACATTACAAGAAATTATATTTGGAAATATATATACATAACATACTATATATAGTATAGTATACTATATATACTATAAACTATATATATATAGATATTTATATACTAACTTACTATATATACTACAAAATATACAAGATTTTTCAAAAGGAGGGCCCTACCCCCAATGACCATTGCCAACGGTCATATTGCACAAATAGCCTATTTTTTTTTTTCTTTTTCAATTTACAAAACTAACCTTCTCTAAAACTATAAATACCCCCCTCCTTCTTCTTTATTTCAATACTCAATACTCATTTCTCAATCTCAATTTCTCTCAATCTCCAATTTTCAAGGCTTCAAGTCTCAATCTCAAATTTCAAGTTAAATCATGCCTCGTTCGGAAAGAGTGCGCTTATTTGTTTCGCAACACTTTGAAGTGCTTGAAGAAAATGAAGAAGGCCAAATATTAAAGTGCAAGAACTGTGGTAGAGTCTTAAATTTTCGTTCAGGGTGTACCACAG